AAAAACAATTCAAAAGAATCCCTGTGACTACAAGGGGCACACACACAGATTCACATATTACACGTCATGCAACTTGCTGTAATTTGAGAAAGTATGTCCCCAAATGCGAAGATCTCAATTGGTAATCAAAAGTCTATTTTTCAAGGCCTTTCAGCTCACCGTATGGGCAATCGTCGTTCATACCATAGGCCACATGACCTCAGCCAAAGTCAGCATCCGCTGCTTTCACAAAGGCAAGTATCACATAGTATCACAACAACCCGTCTGACATCATTCCACACCTTTTCATCAAAACGGTGCCGAATCAATGGTCCATAACACGACTTGCAAAAAATGGATTGCTTCGCCTTATAATGCCTTATACTTATACACCAAATGTGCCAGGGTGCCTTCAAAAACATCTTCACCAGGGTAGTCAATGATGCGATTCCTGGACCGAAAGCATGAGACTGCAAGGGCACTGCAAAGGCACTGTAACCATCTGTAACCCGGAGGGCACGGGATCAAACCTCTTGAGTGGAGGACCTCCTCAGTCCTCAACAAAAACATCCCTTCTCAACCCCCCGTGCCTGGTCATGCAGCCCGGGTAGTTGTAGATCAAAGACACATTCACCTTCCATGCACTTTGTGCTGCGCTTGGGCAATTTTTTCTGCTGTGAGCTCTGCTATTTCCATCGTCATGCAGTGTGGCGAGACCTCGCGAGCATCACCACCCTCTACAGGATGGACTGACAATTTGTAGTAGCGGTCGTGACTGTCCCTCGGTCGATGCGGTACGGTACTCGCGAGGCAAGTGAAACATCGCATCTCCAGCGCCATGTTCATGGAGAATTGGAGAAGCACAAGAAACAAAAAGCGCCTATGTGTTCATGTGTTCAACAAACAGCACAAGCACCTCTTGATACACCAGAGCTGAGTTTGTGCAAACTGCAGCCAAACATGATTGACTTTAAGGAGCTGGCTTGTCCCCAACGATATCCATCTTGGCAACGTTGGTCTTGAACTGAAAATTGGGAAGCACCTCATTTGGCACTTAGAAACCTCTATTTCACACATAACTCTGGGTTCACACGACTCTCTGACTCTGGTCAAAGCACGCCATAGGACTCAGCAGCATAGTGGAAGTGCTCCAGAACCTGAGAGCGGGAAAACTCGAATGGTTTGGTGTTCGTCGCAAGCGAAAACAACAGGATTCCTGCAAGTGAGACTGCAAGGTATACTGATACTGCCTATATATAGATCATTGTTATATACATAATTATAGTCTAGTTACATATATATAACCCTACTTCTGAAACAATTCTATATAAACACCACAAGTATTCAAGTGAAACAACTGCACCACATCGCAGTGGCACAGCCAGTCCGAAGTATTGCACAAACAGTCCGAAGTCTCGGGGTTTTGCCTTCTTCTTCTTGGGCCATATCTCCCAGCCCTTGGGGTAGGGACCTTGGCACGAATAGGAGGCCGCCTTTCATCGCATATATAATTACTCGTCTTGGTCGTAGTAAGGCCGCGGCACTTTTCTGTCACGCAATCCTGCCAGGGCTCAAATGCGACACCTAACATACCTAACTAGATATTCTTCGAACCGATGGGCAGCGTGCTCATCTACGTCAATCATATGCGGAATGCTGATGAGTTGCGCGGAAGCATGGAATGCCTAACTCGTCATCAAGGCAATTGTAAAGTTTAAGCCCACTGGTCGATTTACAGTCTGCTGCTCTCTGGTGTTGCAGGACCTTCCACATCTCTGATGACTTCCAGGCTGTCCTGCCCCCACCAAATGTGGAACGACCTTTGCTCCGCGTCAGCAGGGCAGTAGGGCATACAAAAGGCTAAACGATTCAGTACACAGATTGAAGATACCTTCAGAGACAATTTCTCTTTGCTTCACCGTTGCAATTGCCGACGAAAACAAACAAGAATCTCACTGCTCTGGGCTCTGGGTAGTGAGTCGTGAGTCAAAACATGTGCAACCACTCCAACCACAACTCTACGCAATCAGCCCACCATGAATGTTCTTGACTCACTGTGTGTACAGCCGTGGGGGGTGCGACTAGGGTTGGAACCCAAACTCTGTTTGCAGCTTCGAATGCTCGTTGGCCGCAGTAATCCAGCAGTATCCGCCAACCTACGCCCAGGGCTCCGTCTACTCCATCATTCCCCAGCTAAGCTTTATCTATCATAGTCAGGAGGCGATGACGGCTCAGCTCAGCCATTTGTCGCCCTTTTTAAAACTGTCCAAAATCGTGTATTTACCCTATATAGGCAAAAGTCCTTCTTTCAAACATAATTCCACACAATTTCCAAGCCATGGTTCGAGCATGTTCTTTGCACTGCAAACCCTCCATGTTGTACTGTCTTCCGTAATTAGTAGTATGGACGAGAAGGTTCTCTTGACCTTTTCCCGATTTCAAGCTGAAACATCCGCAGCCTTGTCGTTTCGATCGAAGACCACAAAGTTGTTGTTGCCCGACTTGCAGGGAAGGTGTTGGTTGGCGCTGGATCAATCTCCAAAAATATGCAAGAGTTCATAAGGGCCCAACGGTTTCAATGAGACTCAATTGGCTTCAAACTGAACTTCAAGCTTTCGCACCATGAATCTCAACAAACCACTGTCAGTGTGTCTTAACACTTCGCTGCAGCACAAGCGCGAGATGATGCCTCCCTGCAGCCTCATGTAACGCGGACAAATCCAAAGTTCCAAATGTGGTGTGCGTCTCGAAACCTAAGTAACAAGAAGCTACGAGTAACAAGTGCATCGCTACTAGGAGCAAGGGCCTTACTAGTAGTAACAAGAAGCTAGTAGAAACAATCTGTCATATAGTCTTTTTGAGAAGTGGTCGACCCGACGAGCACCTGGACTCGCCAATGGATCACTATCGCCCAATTCCCCATTGGGAGTCCAAGTCAGAACAAGTTCTTTGATGCTGATTGAAGCCCCGATGGCACCTTCGCGTAAATCATGGCGGTCTTCAGGCCATTGTATCCTGCACCTCCGACCAGTTCCAATTCTGGTTGGTGTCGGCGTAACTGAGAAAACTCTCATAAGCATTGCAGCATTCATAAGCTTTATTCGCCACTGGTGTTCATTTTCCTTTCTGCGATCTGCGACTTGCCGCACGGTGTTCTGCATTGCTAAAGTCAAGACAGTCAAGGATATGATTATGATATTCCAAGGGGTGGGAATCGGTGGGAAAGATCAAAACAATTTCACTCATTCCTCTTTCCAAAATCTTCCAAGTCTAGATGTGTTTTGCTTGTGCTCACCCCAAATGGCAAGAGCACCAAGTCCTTATCTTGCTTCATTGGTAAAAAAACTCGCCGCTTTGCAGAACATTTGCCGTTTCCATGTGAATCCAAGGGTCGAGCAACGCAGTTTGTCCGGTGCAGTGAAAACATTAAGGGCACGCAGGCGAGAGTGCAAAGTGGCACTTTCAAAGTGGAGATTGTCAAATCATATATACTAGTAGCGTCCTGCTGCTAGTAGCGATGGCCTCCAACCTAAATAGCGATGGCCTCCAAGCTAGTAGCTTCTTGCTGTACATATTTGCAAGAGTACTTAGTTTGACCACAAAGACTGTCACTGACACATGCTGCATGCGACAAATTTTAGTGTTCGTCTAACTGGGATCTCCCACCAATCACTCCAGCCGGATGTGGCCATTGATGCCTCTGAGGCCTTAAAGTGCCGAATCGTCGTCCAACTTTATGGAAACATGGATGCAGTAGAAATGTTAATGATAGATTGGTATACAGTATACAACTGTGTGTGCACCATACTACGCATAATAAATGCCGGATAATATATCTGGTGATGTGGCGATCAGCTCAGTGAAAGTCCTAAGCTTGAGCTCCATGTCGTGAAAAACATCTGCTTCGAAGGAATGTGATCTCCATGTTGGCGTTTGGCTTCATTTGCAGCTCTCCCTCGCTCAGTCCGCTCTCACTCTGTAGATGCACGCATAAAGCCAATTATCAATTGATTGTTGATGATGGCAACACTAGAGGCCGTCACTAGTCATTGTACTGCCCAAGAGTGCTACCGTGCTTCATCGCCCCATACAGGGTTCAGACCGGAAGGACTTCAAGCCCTTCACACTGACCTGTCAGGCTTGGACAATCTCAGGCTTGTGAGCCCCAAGAATCCAAACGTCCAAACATATCAAAACCCAAACTGCATGTCATGTGGCATGTCAGCTGCTTGTCATGTGTTAAGCCCCGGGCTGCAGTAGCCATTTCATCAGCTGCTCGCAACTTTCGGACGCTGCAGCCTGGAGGCTATGAGCGAGGATCTGAGAAAGACAGGCCCCACCAGCCTCGGGGATTTACTTCTAAATTTTAATTCTACTTAAAATAATGTTTTAATTGTTTCTAAATAGCGAACCTTGTTACTAGTAGAAAGGCCAGGAGCCCCTAGTAGCGCCCTTGCTCCTACGTAGTAGCGATGCCCTTTGTTCCTAGTAGCGTCCTTGTACTGACTCGAACCAGGGATGGGGCCCTGAATTTGGGAACATGCCTTGCTTGACGAAGAAGTGGACACCTTGGCTCAGGAATGATGTGTGCATGTGGCAAGGAATTCTGACAGTGTCCGTGTGGCTAAATGCCAGGCTCTCATGGAAGCACTAGAGAAAAGGGCTTTTCTTGTGCTCCGGACGGTGCATGTGTAGAGTTTAACGGTTTAACGTAGCACTCTTATCTTCATTGACCGCTTCCTGTCAACTATTCCTGCTCATGGACCAAGAATAACTTGTGCCAAAGGATGCCAAAGGCCCTTTTCCTCCAGTCTCCTCCGTGCTGACACGATGGTTCAACGTGCACTGCCAGCGGGTCATGTTGTGATGGTCCAGTTGTAGCGCTTGCGTCAGGCAGAACATGTCAGCCGCCATGGTTCAGTAGTCTGGCTCGATGCTCTCTTTGCAAGGTCAAAGCTCCTCGCGTGCGTCGGGCAAGGGGCGAAAACAATGCAACTGATTGGCGCCCCGAATAGATTTCTTAGGGTCAATGGCTCCTCTTCCGCATCTTCCATGTTCACGGGCATTATAACTCCACCTTGCATACGGGAAGCCTGCACAGCATGGGCGAGCAATCAGGACCAGACCAAAGCTTTATGGGCGCAACAAAAGGACTCTACAACAATCCGACTGATGGGAGTATGAAGGCGGTGCCCTCCCCTAATCGGCCAATTTGCCTTCATCCGTATTCAACACTGTCTTCCCATCCGTGGAACTGCTTTGGCCTGACCAGCACACTTTGACACTGCTCTTGCGCAGCTGCCGGGGCGGTCAGCAGCCTTGAGAAGCAACAGTCGCGGCTTTCACAACTTCCATTAAGATTAAATCGGCTCAATCAGTGGACATGTTTCAGGCCAGGAGCTTCCTGAAATACACATGAGGGTTCGATCCCCTCAAGAGACACCCACAACAGGCCAAGATGCTACTTGCACTGGGCAGTATCGGTTTCCATGTGCCCGATAGAATCCTCAAACTTGAGGCCAAGGGGGGGGGCGAAAGCTAGCGCTCCAGAATGGGAAAGTGGAGGGCAGCGAGGTAGGAAAAAA